CTGTTATTCCTAAGATCTCCTAACCTTCAATAGGACTCGAACTGACAAATCATCTTCGACTTGGTGTTGATTCAGGATCGGATGATCCTCATGGGTCCCTTGACAGCCGCAAAGTGCCAAGTTTACAGTTGAAATAGAGCTATGAAAGCAGTGATAGTTCTCAGCTTTCCGAAGTTTCAGGCGATATGGCTATAAGGTGTAATCCGCGACGACGTGAACATGAACTAGAAGTACACCCAAACTGTGAGGTTTACCCCCACTTCTGTATCCTCCCCGGCAGACACTTCCGCTGACTGGGCGCCTGCCGATGTCATCCGGAGCGGGTAATGACGAAATCGCTATAGGGGCATGGTCATTGTTGCCATGGCAACCGAATTAAGCGATCAAATTGTGACACCTCGGGGAATAACGTCTTGCCTCAACCAATACCGATAGAAGCTCCTTGCCTCAACACACGGAAAACGTCCTCTACCTGTCAATATTTATTGCGAACGTTAGAATCTATGGCAAATGATGCGGGTGATGGTGGAGATTTAGGTGGAAGTGATGGGAAGTTAGATTGAACGCTAAAGAAATATCATGCAAGATACAGTTTGCTATTAGCACCCAACAGCGCGCGACTAAAGGGTTGCGCTGTAAGTCTGAAACGTACCCACTATTCTCCTTACCCTGGCGTTCAAATTAGGCACTGGGGATGGATCGTTACGCACATAGACCGTGACAGGTCTACTACGGATAGAACCCGAACTTGACGTTCCATCTATAATTGATGGGAAAATGTCCTGTGAAATTTCAAATGAAGTATATTGTTTATTATTCTAAGATAAAAGATCTGATTAGATCGGTGTCACTCCATTTGGCACCAATTAATTACTGTAGATCAGAATGTCAAGTAACCCCCTGCTGTTAGATAGGCAGCTCTTCAGTGCTAAATAAACTTTCCCTGCGTGTGAATCAATTAAGATTGACAGTTTCTTCACACCTTTCAAGAGTGTGAACTCCTTTGGATAAACAAGCCCAAGTGCTGTGCCCACAAAACATGTACTACTCTGCTACCGATAGTTTACGTAGATTGATGCAGGCGAGAAAAAAAAGGCACAAAATGTTCGCAAATAGAGATGAAATTTGCCTTGGATGGTTGCCGACTTATTTTGTGTTTTGAACTTCGACTGAGTCAGCCAGGCGATAACATGAACCCCGGCCAACCACCACGGCTGATACGTGTCTTTCCGCGCCAGTCAACCATCACGTTGTTGTCTCTGTAATCCGTGTACAGAAATGCCGACGCCTTCAGAATTTTGGCGCCCAGTTCTGCTGTGGTCTCGTGTTACAAGGTCAGATACTGTAGCTGTGTGTAGCCAGGGGCTTTTTCTCTCGCCAATGGGCCGAGACGGCGGTATCTAGCCATTCTCAGAGGAGAAAAGAACAAACTTGATCATGGTATTAGAGGTGGGGAAAACACACCAAGGGTGCCGGGTATGGAGAAAATACACAAGGAATATGGAAGATGAACGACTCATTGCGTCCCTTTTGCATTATTGCTGTGATCGATCGTCAACCAGACTCTGAAATGGATATATTCTTCATTACCTGTGACTTAAAAGATACAAAACCTTGTTCTGATTCCGATCCTAAATAACAGACCTTGACTCCGCTGTGTTTGGGTCTGCCTCCCAAGTTACTTCTTCATAACGTAAGTTGGAACCGGTCCAACCATCAATCAAACGGTTTTCTGGCTGACTGCATTTCATCACAGGAGATTTACCCAGACCGCCTCCGTGTGAGAAACTGATGAATAGAATCATGAGAACAGAAAGGCTCAAGTGGCATAGCAACTTTGGACCCCACTCAAGTATCCACGGAAAATAGAAGTTCTGAATAAGACGTCTGACATTGAACTTAGCGGGGAATAGAACAAGCAAGTACCCCACGAAAGATCTTGACCCCTTTTCTCGACTAAATAGAGACGTTCTAAACCTTTTCCTGAGACAAGCTTGATTTGATGTGACAGATTCTTCTTTACTCTAGTACCTCCAGTAACGACTGAAGGTTGTAGGTTACTGTTCATTGTGTGCTAGTGATAAAAGACATACTGACCGGAGTTGGGTAACAACATTGTGATAGCACGATTTGTTTCTCAGGGAATGATAATATTTTGGTTTCCAAGTCTTTCCTCTTGCAGATACTATTTTTAACCAAGAAATTCATCTTTAGTAATCTCTAAGAAGATGTGAGGTTCCTGTCCATTTATGATGAAAGGGATGGTACTGTTGCCAAAATAGGTGCAAAACACAGAAAAATAGATAATCTTATTGTATAAACATTATAGGGGGCTTGGAACGTTGGACCTATCAACATACTAGTAGTACCCACTACCCACCACCCCCTATAACCTCTTTGACCAAACCCATTGTTCTGAATCAGCTTTGTTGCACAGTCTAGCTGACTGAAACACAAAGTTATCTATCATCCGGACATCCTTGTGGACTTGAAATTCTAGTAAGCACATTATGGGCTTTCTGGGCGCATTATGCGCTTAGCAGACACAACATGTTGTGCATACTAAAAAGCAGTAGACACGATAAGATCAAGATAAAGTCAGTGGTGTGTTTTTATCAACTCTGGTCGACTAGGCAGTGCATCGCTGCAATGGTCGCAAGTGGGGTGAACTCGTATCTCAAAAGTGTGTCGCAAGTTTTCTACAGTTGACATTTTTCTGTCAATTTTATTTCGAACGTTGACACTCTTGAGCTAGACTGCGCGGAGAGACTGTGTGTGTGCTTTGTACCATTGAAGTGTCAGGAGAAGTTTGTTACCCATATCATTGCATTTCTCTGATGCACATAAGACATAGGCAATAAAAATCATCGTAATTTTCAGCCACAAAGTTTGCTTGGCACGACTTCATATTTACTGTCAGACTGGAAAACCGAGGATAGAGACATCATCCCAGTACAACTGACGCACATCTGGTTACCATGGCTACGAGGATTAACGGTGAAAATGACGGATGAAGGAGAGCACAGACGTGACCTGCTGGTTATTGGAAGAGGGATGAAAACTTTACTCCCGTGTGAAGGAGTTTAGCGCGGTTTTGAGTTCTCAAACTGGGCTCACAGGTTATGAAGTTGGGCGTCTAGTGAAAAATGCAGGAAATATATGAACTTGAACCTCGTCCTTACACTGTTGAGGTCACTTGTTGGCATAATACATGTACATGTACTTGGGTATGTCCATCGTTTATGATACAGGTGAGCTAAAATGTGCAGCCAAAACGACGAGGCGAAGTATGAAATAAAGATACTATTCCTGTGACAGTTACAATGAGCATGTACTCCTATTTCTTCTGTCACTTGTTTTAGTATCTGGGTGACTTCTCATTTTGTCTGTACAGGTGTTGAAGAAGTCAAAATCGTCGATGTTGAAATGTTATGATGTTGAAAGGTTATAGCCCTATAACCTCCTTGAATAGGACGAAAATTATCACATGAAAAACGGGTCATAGTGTAGATGTAGTCACCAGGCTAAACACTTGGCTGAAACTGCTTTGCAGATAGATGTACCACCTTTCAAGGCCCTCTCTCCCCTCTAACTCACCCCTCTCCTAGTACAATCCCCTCAAGAACAATTTCTCAGCAGTTTGATTAATCCTTACAAGAAAAGGAGTGATCTTCTCGCCATAGATGTGAGCAGGAGGAGGATGAGTGAGTGAGTGGGTTGAGATGTGATGTCACTCAGCAATCAGCAGCCAATGAGGTATGAAATAAGATTCCTGGGTAATTTTCCAGCACCAAGGAAATTCTGCAAGACTAACTGAGCTGACCATCATAATTCAAATAGAAAGAATTTCAATGCCAATACTTTATTTTCCATTAATTATTATATACAAATAAATCTAACACTTTTGATATATACAGTACATACATGTAGCATCAATGATTGAACAAATCTATGGAACATTATAGTAACATTTGTATGCACATAACACTTCCCTTATCAAAGTTGTATTTCATATAATTTTCATTCATTGAACAATTTTATGGAACATTAAACATGTAGTAACATTTGTATGCACAAAACACTCCCCATTATCAAAGTTGTATTTCATACAATTTTCACCTTGTTTATCACCGAGAGCTGGGTTTGTAAACATAATAACTTTGTACTTAAAATGATAAATGGCACAGATAATTACTCTCACGGTATAATCACTACTACATTGTACTGTATTTTCTCTATGTATGCACTGCACATTCTGACTGTACCATTAAGCTGTGATGAATTGGCATATCTCCTTGGAATTTTGAAAGCCCTGTCATGGTCTAAAAGAATCCAATTAAAATGAGAGATTGATGAAATATTTGTCAGTTTGTGCATCATCATATCTTCATTGCAAAAGAGTGGTCCATGTTTCAGAACAATGAAAGTATGTCATGGCTATTTGTATTCACTGTATTAGGAAGAATATCTGTGAGAAAACATAAGTGAATGTAACCAGAAACAAGCCAACAGTTAAACATGTAAAAAAATCTCACAGTGACTTCAATCATATAATCCACTTTATGAGTTCTACTCTATAATAGCAAGGAGAGAATTTGAAGCTCCTTGATAAGCGATACATCAAACTCATGTGTTTCACTGGCGAAGGTCATTCCAAAATCAGCTCAATACATCATTTAGCAGTGTAGAAAACAATGTCCTCACTTTTCTATAAAGCAGGGCATTTCTGTGGCATTTCCATACCATTTTTCACTGTAAATTCCAACTTCAATACATTGCCACAGTTCTTTACTGGACAATTGACATTCAACACGCATGGGCTGATAGTAAGATAGTGGAGACATAGAAGTGGAGGGGGCAGTATTATGTTTTACACATCTTTGGTCATATAGAGTTGTTACTGTGTTTATGTACTGGGTGTGACTGCCAATTTTGGGGTAGACTACTAAGTACATGGGATAAAAACTGAGGCAATGTGTCCTGGCAATTTTCTCACAAGTTTCAGCACAAATTTCAAACAGTTTTGATGGACTGGGCTTTATCTTTCATGCCCCTCACAGACCACCGCATTCATACGTTCTCTCGTTTTCCATTAGTAAAAGTATGGAAAGAACAGGATGTGTTGTGTTTGTTGTGAAACATACATGGAATGTAGCACCATTAATTATGTCAGACCAAGGCAGCTCCACTGTTATCATTGCACTTCTTTGGAATTTCAAGTCATTCTTACAAGTCTTTCTTCTCTCTTTCCTTTCTCCATGCAGGCTGATGTAATAGGGCAGAGTCTCATAACCTCATCATTCTTCCCTTGAATATTGCTAAACTGTCCCTAGTTGATGATTGATGCAGCAGCAGAGCAGCAAGTGTGTCCAGTTTGTCTCTGCTGGCCAGAATGGCACAAGAGAGCTGTTGGCTGATCACTATCTGTGTGCGTAGATAACCTCCTCTTCTTCCTCTTCATCTGATCCAGGGTTGGCATCTCCATTGATGATCAGCATCTCCAGACTGTTAGGGTTCTGCCTGGTCTCTTCAGAAGGCTTTGTATTCTCTAGAAGGTGCAGGTGCAAGATAAAAAAAATCAGTGAATATGCTACTTTATGATGAAAACCTTACCATACTCCTTATTACCTCAATGAGAACTGACCTGCAGACCAAACTGAGCTTTCAGGATAAAATAAAGGCACAAGTAGTCATATACTGTAGCCATTGGTGAAGGGTGAGAAACTGTTTAACATCTATACAAATCACTGTAAAAACAGTGAGTGTTACCTTTCATATTTGGGAAAACATATTTGTTCAGTGTCTTTTCATCCTAAACTAAAGACCAACATCCCTTGAGGTGTTGTCCCCACAAAACCTGATCAACCTTCAGTGTGCTACTTAAAAGTCACATATCTGGTAATGTTTTAAAAGGTTAAAATATCACTTTGTTATTACCAGCATGGCTTACACTATTGCAGGCAGAATTTTGCCTTTTATCTCAAATGTATTCTTCAAGCTGCCAAACTTTGATTGCAACCACATCAAAAAGGAGCAATCTTTACTAAGAAATCAGGTTATTGGCATGTATCAAAGCTAGAGGTCATTGCTGATTCTTTCAAAAGTTGTCCACTTTTTGGAATCACACTTTATTCATAGTAGCAAGATGGAAAGTCACAAGTTCATGGATTTCACAAAACTGATAATTTGATAGATTGTGGTAGAGCTGGACTATTTTAAAAACATTTCAAACTCAGCAAAGAAGTACAAGTACTAAGTGGAATGTTGCAGTTACATTCCACTTTTCACCTGGTAGACCATTTCTCCTCAGCATACTTCAATGATTTTTTCAATGTACTGGTACTGTTTTTTTTACCATTGCATGGAAAACGAAGTAACTAGGACTAGGAAAGGGGATTTACTCAGACACCATGTCTGTCCATCCAAGGACTTGGTCCATCTCATCTGAACTACTAGTAATCATTAAAACAACTGGCAGCCAGTCTGCAATTGTACATCATGGGGAGGGTGGACAAGTTTGGTCTGTGACTGGTCTGTGTTTTAAGTCAGAAACTTCCCTGGTGCTTCATCTTCAAAGTACCAATGGAGTACAATGTAGCTTTTCTGACAAAGAGAAATACCAGACCACAGACATTGTTTCTATAGACATTTCCATCAGCTACAATGAATGGTTAGAGATTTGGTTATTTTGGCAGTGATTGGCTGAAGTGATGTTTGAGACCAACCCCTGCTGAGCGCTGTCAGTGGTCCACCAACACAAAGCCCCTATGAAGATGGAGGCATGTGCCAGCATCAGTGCGAGTATCAACCCTACAGGCAAGACAAACATGTCAGCTTTGTGGGACCCTGTTTTTACAGACTGTAGTGTAAACAAACCTGCCCCCAATACATAAAGCTCAATGATCTCTACATTATTTTCAATGTGAAAAACACTGGGCTATTTGGACATTGTCTAATATTCTTTTCACAAAAGATGGTGTTTGAATCTTATACAGAGGACTTTTAAGGCTTTCTTTTCTGAAGTAAGAACTGTGAGGTCTAAAGACCACCTGAAATGTAAAAACAGGAAGAGTTTTGGTAAACACAAGGTTGAAATGGTGCCAGGACTGTATATAGTTTTTTTGCCATAGTGTGATCCCAGGAGATGTTGCACAAACAGGCATGAGGAAGTGACCCACATCTTGTTTGTAGAACCTGGTGTAGAACATGCTTTGTAGATGAACAGGGAAAATATAGGGCTAAAAACCATCTCATTTTGTATTTCCTAAGCTTTGAGTTATGATTTTGTTTACTTGTCAAGTAACCTTTACCTTAACCACTGCTACAATAAGTCAGCAATATGATATGTCAAATCCAAACCTTGGGGGCCAAATTTGCTTGTTTTTTTTACATTGAAATTACATGATGAAGTACTATAGGAATCCCTGGTTTGACCAGAGGAGCTGTAATGCAACATCAGCCCACTAGGTGGGGCTGCAATACAGTAAGCCATAATACTTACCCAATCAAGAATCCAGATACAACCTCCTTACCAAGTTACCTCTGTTGAAGTAATGAGATGCCCTCCCTAACATCATGTCTGGTGAAAATCATATTTTCTCACCTTTTGAGTGTGTTGCCTTCAAAACCACATGTAGGGTGATCCCTGCTATACAGATGATACAGCCAATGATGTTCACAGGTGCCATCTCTGTACCATTCAAGAAGTGATCAATCAACAATGTCCAGATTTCCTGAAAAATGACAAAATATGTTCATAATAATGCCTTTGTCGAACGTTTCTTAGCAGGGAACAAAAAGTGCATTATACTTTTTTGATAGACACTGGGCTTGCAGAAGACCCAATTTTTCTCTAAATTAGACTTAATTTGTCTGGGCATTCCATTTCCATAAAATTTCATCAGAAATGTTATTACATGCACTGTTTTATAGACTCCTGACAAAATTGAAATGATGAGTATAATACATAAAAACCTGGTATTTAGAAGTTGTCCAGAACTACAACAACATGAAGACATAGACACAGTATTTGTGTGTAAGGTACCTTGAATATCCCTGACACAGACAGTGTGAGGCTGGAGGTATGATGTAGGAGGAGAAACTCTGACATGCCCAGCATGAAGGCTAGCGTGGCTCCCAGCATGATCTTCCCCACTGTCAGCATCACAATGTGTAAACTGTGATATCTGAACAGCTGCTCCTCTAGGGAGATAGGCAGTCCTGAGACAGAAATACCGAAAAATGTACTTAGTTTCTTACTACAAGAACATCTGTACTAAGGCCATGTTCATTTCATTATATGGATGACATGTGCACATAAATTTTTACCCTTTCAAAAAAAACATAGATTCAATAATGAAGGTAACTTTTTTGGGGTCAAACTATTTTTTACTTGCACACTCGCATCAGTTTTGGGGTTCCCAGACGATGTGATTCATATCATAAAATCAAAATGGCCTAAGGGTTACCCAGTCATTATGGCCAAATGTGCTTCAACTTTTCCTACTGACCAAAGCATGAAGAAACCTGTCCACATCACTCTTGACTATAGATATGTTTACCTTCATTGTAGACCATGAGAGGAAACAGCCCCACCATCATGACTGGAGTCAGATGATAGATCACATCTATAGGGTTGTGGAGACCTGTACAATAACAAGGAAAATGTAGAAGTAGCAAGAAAGGCACATAAGAAACTGTCACAGGTTAAGGTTTTCAGAAGGCAATAGTGCCTGTTTACTGTGTTGCAGTGTTGTCTAAAAAGTCATAGACATACTTTCATTAATGTTCCATGTATTTCCATATTATACTATATGGAATTTAGCATTTAAGTCATTGTATTTTGCTTTTTAAACATATCTTAATCTTACAATTAAATACACATTTGGCTTGCAACAAGTATGAACAATTGTTTCCATTATGGTGATTGCTGTACATGTAGTTACCTATTTCCTGCTTCTGTGTGAGTATCTGTGTGAGGGTCCATCTCAGACCCCCAAGAACAGACGCTGTCATGACCAGGATGAAACCCTCCAGGTTGAAGTGTGTGGATTTGTAGGTGAACATGAACAGACCAGCTGCTATCAACAGAATCACTATCACTAATGAACATCTCTGGAACATAAAAGTTGAATCACAGATTACATTTTAGCAGTACATGTATAATATTACTACTACATGTACTACTATTGCTACTACTATCAAGATTATGACTATGACTTAAATTATATCATATATGATTCACAGATAATGATAGGCAAACTAGTAATTCTGTGTTGTCAGCTGGAGGACGATTAGACGAGTCTAACACATGTTTCATAAACATGAGCTGTAATGGTTTGATCACCATCTATACTTACCGGCTTTTCAAGCTTAAAAAGAATAGCAAACCCCAGTATAAAGATGATACAGGTTGACTTTGACATGGTGTACCTGGAAAGAAATAGAAAACATACTAATATGAGACAAATGAAAAAAAGAAAATTTTGAAAGTTAAAATATTGGCTGGAATGAGTTACACAGAATGAATTTATCATTAAAGACAACTTGTCAAAGGTAGGATCAGATCAAAACTAGTACTGGCTGTACTTACAAAGACACAGTTATATACAGGAAACTCCAGTTGGACAACCCAATGTCCATGGAACTTGCAAGACCTGCATTGACAAAATAGGAAAGGAGCAGTTTACAGATTCTGCAGTCCATAGTGAGGTAATGTAATGTAATGACATGAAAACTTCAAGCTCTTTGAAAATGTAGAAAAAGAGATTTAAAGAAAAAACAAATGTCATACTCATAGTTAGCCTACCTGTCAGCCCTACTCTGTGAATGTACTGTTTCCAGCTCAGTGTGACACGTTTCTCCCCAGTGTATACCTGCATTACCTTCCTCACTACCCCTGCTGTCACAAAGTTGGTCGCAAAATGGCACATCGTCATGGAGAGGGGGTAGTGGAAGCCCTGGAAATCAAAACACAGCAGCAGGGTCAATGACCTGAAAGAATTGTTTTTCTCCAACAACCTGCAAGTCTTGATATCAATAACAATACAAAGGTATGGCTTCCTACATTATAATTGTGTGAACACAGTTATATACAGTAATATTCACCAGAATACACATAAAGGAGGGTGAAATCTACCTGCTAGTCTTGATATCAATAACAATACAAAAGTCTGGCTTCCTATGTAATATAATTGTGTGAACACTCTCCACCTATTCATCGAAATACACAGGAATACACATCAAGGAGGGTGAAATCTATTGGAATACACATACCCGGTATGCTTTGATCAAGGAGCTGTATTTCGACACAGTTTTTAAATGGTATTCCAGTAGATTTTACCCTCCTTTTTGTGTATTCCTGTATATAGGCAGACCCAAGTGAACAAGTAAAAAACTTACCTTTAGCACAGCTTTGTTGTAGAATGTTATAGAGATGGAGAAGCAGTAATAGAACAGCACCAGTCCGAAGGTCTTGGCACATTCAACAAGCACTTCCCTCAGACTGGAGTGCCTACTGACTCCAGGTCTGGTCACAGTGGTTCTAGTACCTTTACCCATTTTGCCAGGCACTGGGATGTTATCAACAGTTTTCTATGATCTCAATATTTTTGGCTGTCTTATATGACGTATGGCTACGGATTCTTGAATTCTAGTCCAGAAGATCTGGGACTGTCAAATGTTCTGTTGAAAACTGTACAGTTGGACAGCTGTACATGGTGTTTATAAATTCTATGTTTGTATTTTGGATGAACTGGTCACATCCATGTTGAAACTTGTAATATCCATAATTTTTTTTCCAGTCCTTAGAGTCAGAGAGACATGTTTCCAACTCTGAAAGAGAAACAGAGAAAAAACTTTCCATAAACATTTAAAAAGTTTCAGACAGGAAAAGAATAATATGGTGATGTGAAGCAAACTACTACAAGATGGATAATCGTTTTACACACAATTATTTACTCCAGCTTCCACACTGTATCAATTGATAAGTTATCCCACAAATCAAAATCAGTCTCATGTCATAATAAAAATTGTCAGTCGCCCCCCTCCCACCATATCATACACAGTCACTGTTGACAACAAAACAAAGGCCATTTTGTACGGATCTCGACAAATCTATTAAATCTAACAAACTAGAAGTTGTAATATGTTCATTGACAGCAGTTTTCACACCTTTATGGATTGTAAGGAAAGTCCAAAACACCGTCTTGGAATGTCTTCACGTTTCTTGCCACGTTCGCCGGAGGGTGAACTTTGACCTCCCAGGATTCAGTTGTCAACTTGGGGTTTCCGCCATTTTCAAACTTTGGTGAAAGATCGTCTGTTTAGGATCTGGTTTGTATGTTCAGATAGCGGAGTGTTACAAACGTGTAGACAATGGCTCTACCGCCGGAGAAGATATCAGAACTCAGGCAGATCATCCATAATAAGTTAACCCAGGTAATTTCTGTCGAATCACTTTGTTTTTGTTGTGTTGTTGGGGGGGGGGGGGAGGGGAACAAAAATTTTATATACACAAATGACCAAATTATATATATATATAGGATGCTGGATTGTTGTGAAATGAAGATATTGAGTAACTCGTGTCGTATGTGATGTAAGTTGAGAAGAGCTTTTCTATGTACTGAGCAAGTAGTTACTATTCATGAATCATAATTTGTCACAAATCATGATGTAGAATACTGCATGCATATAATATTTTACAGATTTGCCTTTGTAGGGGGCCTGCATGCTTTTTTTTCGTAAGCCGTAATCAGGCCTCTTTACTAATTTTAGTCTACGACGTAGTCCAAAGGCAGCCTACCTTTAACGTAATTTGTAACTGGCAGCAAAAATTTTGAGTAATTCGTAATCACAACCCCCCCCCCCCCATGCAGGTAGTGTATGGTTTGGTTGATAAAAGAAGGCGTACAATAGTAAGTTACATCCTTGATACATAAGGACCTTGATTGGATCATAGATGGATGTCCACTCCCGCATCCGAGATGCTGTGTCAGAGACCATGGAGGAGTCGCGTGTGTCTGAGCGCGGGGGCGGGGCGGTGGGCGAGGAGCAGGTCCTGGAGTCTCTCCGTCAGCGCGGGATCATCGATGAGATCCTGAGCGAGATGAGCTTTGAGGAGGAGCCGTCACGCGACGTCAGCAGACCGACCAAACCTGCCACACACTTCGTGGACAAGGAGGACAGAATAAAGACAAGCACACCTGCAAAAAAAGGTGATCAGCTTCATGTATTATCTGTTATGGAGTAACTGGTCGAAAGTTCTACTAGTGCTAGGTAGATGAGAACAATTTTTTGTGTCGGAAGAAAAGTTTTAACTTATTTTAGTATCATTATTGTTTTGTACACTAGAGTTTGATTGCAGCCGTTATGAAAAATGATAAGCCATTGCACTAAAGCTTGACAGTTGTTCTAATGGTATGTATTGTCTATCCAGCTGCCATTGACCCCACCCGTAGACACCTGTACCTCCAGGTGAAAGGTGGGAAGGCATTCCTGGAGCACCTGCAGGAGCCGGAGCCCCTCCCCGGCCAGGTGGGCCCCACCTTCACCCTCCATGTGCTGTTCCGGGGTCAGCGCTTCAGGTCCAAGCCTGTCCCCTGTGCCTGTGATCCTGACATACAGGAGGGGTTCCTGTTAGAACTGCACAATAAAGGATCAGGTAACCTAGCTGCTATCCATTTTGTAACAGGGCTCCTTGCACTCGCTACCCGTCATCTTGCATGTGCAATATAGCTGTTGTCATCTTGACAGTGGCTACTGTATATATGGGCACCTTCTCCACTGCCAAAAAGGGGTACAAAAATGAACGGCTCCCAGCCATATACCAGGATGTCAACCAGTACATAATTCAGATCACGTGATTATGAAATTACTGGTAATTGGCAGAATCAAGGGGGCTTAATTCCTTTGGTAGAAGGTAACAACACTCTCACTCTAGATACCATAGTCTTGCTGATATTAAAGACACTGTGGATACATGTGTACATGCACTATAGATACAATTGTGCATATGCATATTACTCAAATTGTTTATGTTCATACTCCACAATCTGTATTGTTCTTGTCAGGAGGGCTATTCTTTTGCAATAGTCACATGCAACTCTTACCTGGCCTTGTGCCCTTCTCAGCCAATAGATAAAATAGAATTAAGACAGTGTGGGAGCGATTCTTTCCAAAATGTCAATAAGGCTGACATACAGATTGACAGGTGTCCATCACACCTGCAGGAGAAGCAGCTCAGATGGCAGACAGTACGTCCCTCCTGTCCATCTGTGACCCTGTGCACATGGTGCTGATTAAAACAGACGTGGCCGGGGACACAGCCCTGCTCACATCACACTACCTGGAGTGGAGACATGTACTCGGTGCCCAGGATGGGTACATCAACACTGCTGTGGAACTGATGGGTGTAGGTAAGGCTGCTGGTTTCTCTAGCATTGATTTATTCATCAGTTTGGGATCTGCTACAAGAGTAACATACAGTGTACTTTGTTTGAAAAAAATGTGCTCTATCTTGGATTCTTGGTACTTTTTTGAGATTTTGAATTTAGTGGAAAAATGAGTACTACTACCATTAACGTCAGTCAGAAATGGACTATTTTGTCAAAGTCATATATGGGTATGATGATATACATAGACAACTAATACAGAATGTTATTTTTTGTCTCCAGGAACAGAGTCCAAGGTACCAGTTGGTGTTTTAGATGTACGGTTGGAGATTTTACCCCACCCTGTCCAGACCTTGGCACCTGACGTCATCACAACACAGCTGAACCTGGAGCAGAGCCGGCGGGCGGAGCGGGAGAGGCTGTTCCTGGTCTACGCCAAACAGTGGTGGCGGGAGTTCCTACAGATCAGAGGCACCAACAGTAGCAGGCTGGTCAAGATATTTGCTCAGGTTCATGCAGCTGTTCCTTTAGTTCAAGACGTCATAGATATTATTCCAGCCTTAAGTTATACATGTATTCTTAGGTGTAACAAGTCATTTGGTTTTATGTAGCCAGCTGCTACTGCACCGGGTGCCTGTAAAGTTGGTGTGTTGTGCCTAAGGGCTTTATATTGGCTATACAGATAAAGATACAGATATTCCTATAACTACCCCTATTTCATAACTTTCAACTTGAAAATGTGTCACCATTATCTCCATCAAGTTTCAAATGGAAGGCAATAGGTTTTAGCTAATTTGATCATATGTAGTATTCATGTGATCATGTCATCCCAGTCAGACATATACAGTATATGTATGAAATTGCAGTTTGAAGTGTCTGTACTAGGTCTTTAGTCCTGTTTTCTCTAATGTTCATCTGAAAGTAAACCTTTTCCATAATATCACCCTAATACTAATAGCTGACTGATGTGCTGTTTGCTCCAATAGGATGAAAATGCGACCAACAGACCAGTTTGCTCCTTTGTTCGACCACTACAAGCTGGCAGGCTATTGGACACCCCGAGACAGGCAGCACGGTTTATCAGCCTGCTGACCTATGAGAAGGCCTCTACTGTAGGAGGTGGGCCGAGGGCTGAGCAGTGGTGCACCATGCATGCCTTTCTCTGCAGAAACAAAGGAGTATGTAATGATTTTACCTTTATGTTACATTGTAGTTAGTACAAGAAGTGAGGAATGCGCTGCTCTCTTATGATTTTAATTTTAATGATTGAAGCATTGACAAAAGCATTAGCAACCCTTTCTACCATGGCCACTTGTCTGGTGTTACCAAGTAGTGTGTCTTGAGTGTTCACTATAGACAGGTTTGCCTGTACATGTAATGTTATACTATTGACCTTTAAAACTGACATTTTCTGCAGGATTGTGAAGACCACTCGGTGCTGCTGTGCAGTCTGCTGCTGGGGTTTGGACTTGACGCGTATGTTTGTGTGGGCACGAAGACGAACAACACGGCACACACCTGGGTCCTGACCCTGGGGATGGACGGGGAGGCCACCTTCTGGGAGAGCCTGACAGGACACAGGTAACTCTTCTGTGTCTAGTAGTATCTGGTCTTAGATTATACTGCTGTGGGGAGACACAGTGGTCTTCACAAAACGTTTCCAACTGACTCAGATTTCATGCCTTTGGAGAATGACCACAGTAACATCAACTTTGTATGTCTCAAAAGCAGTCGTATAGTAAGATTGGACCACATGACAATCTACTGACCACTGTACTGTAAGGAAACACAAGCTGAGATGGTTTGCTCATGTAGCAAGATTGTGAGGGCTTGCAAGAACTGTACTACAGTGTACAAGGGACAGGAAGTCGAAAAGGGGGTAGGCGAAGGAAGAGGTTTAATTAATGAAGGTTTCTATATTACTTACCATCCATGCCAATGTTCTGTCCAGATACAGTCATCAGCCCATCAACCCTGATGATCCGCCAACAGTGGAACAGCCCAGACCGCAGTACCCCTACAGATCAGTAGGGTGCGTCTTCAACCACCAAGTCTTCTATGCTAACTCACAGGTGAGACTTACCATTGTACTAAAAGAGATAGTTTACAGCCTGGACATCGTACCTAGTGCCATAAATGATGTCTGATGAAAATTTTGATTGATTAAAAAAAAAATCTTCAAGTGACATGAGCTCTTAATTTCAAACACAAACTTGTGGTATTACTGGTTTATTGTGCAATTTTTGATTGTTGTTGATATTTGTATTTCAGTATTTCTCTGTTTTATTACATTCCAGCCAACAGACACAGTTGAGGTTTGTCACTTTAACTTTACGGATGAGTCTCGGTGGAAGGCCATGAGTGAAGAGGCCATAAAGTCTGTATGTGGGGAGGGAACACTGGTGAGTATCTATCTACCACTTGTGTTGCAAGCCATAGCTGACTTCCTATTCTTACCACATCTGGATGGGAAATGCTACCACTGGCATGTGTATAAATATTTTTAAAACATGAGATTTAAAGGAAAGACTGCTAAAGAGGATATCTGTTTTCTCTGACAGCCTCTGGGCCCTGTGTTCCCCCCTCTGTGTGCATCATTGTTTGATCCCGGGTTACTGAGTGCAGATTTGGAGCTGGAACTCAGGGTACTTGTTACTGAACACAGGAAGGTGAGTGAGTGTGGACATGTAAATATCATGTGCTGGGATATTGTTTCATATTTTTCACTATAACCATTGGAGATATAGGTATTCTACATTGCTGAGATGCCCCATGACACAGCCCTGTTCTGTTTTGTTCCCAGGACCTTGGGTTAACGACAGTGTGGGACAATGAGCTCAGCTACCTTCTCACACCTGCCCTAGCAGCATATGAGCAGGAGAGGACCACAGGTAACTTTGGTTTCAACCTTTGTCTATTCATGACTTGCTTTTCATTGAGGCCATGAGAAGTATCTCCTCTTAAGATTTCAGTCTGGTAGGATTCCATTTAAGCAATAAAAATGAAGTTTCAAACATATAGAATCAATTAACTCACAAATTGATACACAAACCAAGAATAAAGTAGCAACAAATGACAATGCTCAAAATCATTCGTAAATGAACTGAAAGAGATCACATATCTAACCAGACTTACAGACAGCAAGTCCTTCACGGAAAGCTAGAGTTATGTAAAACCATAAAGGTAAGAAGAACATTGGGAGGTCCTTTGATATGGAAATAAGTCAGGAAATGACTTATACACATCAGAGAAGTGTGCCTGCTGATCTTGATGATTAGTTCTTTAATGTCATCTGCCTTCAGTCCATCATGACGCATGTGGTTGGAGGAGGGTCTTAATCGTTGCTGCATACTCTCTTTGTACAAATGTGTATGTCTAAGGCCACGAGGCTTGGCCAGAATAAAATTACTGCCCACGTTCTGGGCTCTGATCCGGGACATGACCGTCCAACATTTGAACGTAGACACGTTCATATCTTGCTGACCTTTAGTATGGTACGCTTGACATGTCCTGCCATTCCTACATATTGGACCAAGGGCATTGAAGTATCAATATGTTCTTACCAATGGTAGGCCTCAGTATTGGCTCTTACAAGTGTCTCCTAAGGTCTTACAAATATGTTGTAAGTTGTACCATATGGTGTATATCTCCAAGGTCTTGTCTTGCGCAGCTAGCATATGTAGCCTTTGGTGCATTCTGCACATGCACCTTTCCACAAAGACAGGCTGAAATACAACACGTTCTACCTGTGCACCAATCAAAAATAATTACAGAAGAAATGGAGAAAAGCAGAGGGAGGTAGCCGGAGGGCTTCCACACCAGATTGTCAATCAGCACATTGCCTGCAGAGAAGTTCAGTCCAGGCATCATATTTAATTAAGCAGTGCCATTGTTGTCCAAAATAAATTCTCTGAGCCTTCCTGTCCTTTGCAAGAGCTTTGGAAACTAGTAATTGAGACAGTAATTAGCTTCCTGACATCCTGGAGGGCCCAAGGCTGATGTGTTGTTGTGTTTCCATGCAACAGAACAGCAAGGATATTTGTCCTTATTACTATAATATTAGATTTTGGTATTAAAAAGCCTAGAGTTTGAGTTGTGTATGGGCAGAATTAAGTGTCAAGGTAGGACCATAAAGTCAGTAATGCAAACAAATTGACTGCTTCAATGAAAGATGGAAGAAAAAAGGATTCTTCTCTTTGATGTCATTCCCTCCTCTGCAGTTACACCCACTTGGCAGTATATTCCTCCTACAAGCACTTTCTTATTCTTTACCCCTTATGAAACTTGAAACTAACTTGTTAGGATCAAACTTATAGCATATGCTCTGTATGACGCAGGTATGCTTTTCTCCACCATCCAGGGCAAATATCAGGTAATGAGGAGTTCCAGCAGGCCATCCGCAGAGCTGTCCCAGATGGACACACTTTCAAGGGCTTCCCTATCCAGTTCCTGCACAGAAATGCTCGGAGAGCTTTCGCTGGATGTCTCAGGTTTGCTCGGGTGATTTTGTCTAACAGTGCTGTACGTTACATCTTGCACCAAAGAGTGCTGATGGATTAACCCTTTCCCTGCAGCCTAACCCTGGGGCTTTATAAATTGTGACAGCTGGTCTGCTGACGGTAATCGTGATGTCAACTGGTAATTGGAGAGCACCGATTCTTGGTATCGTAAACTTCACATACTGCACCAGGAGCTAACATATACAAAGTCAAGTCCAACCTATTTATGTTTCACTGACTGGGTCTGCTTGAGTGGTCGCAAACTTTTCTCGTTCCCATGTAACGTGAGGAATAGCTGCTATATTGGTCGCCGAGTAAAAACAAATATCCGCACTCCGCTGACGTTAGTCCATTGTGTTTATTTCCGTTTATAGGTCGCCTGTCTGTGAGGAGATCGTGAGTTGTCGAGGGGATCACGTTCGCCTGGCTGTCCGCGTCCGTGTGTTTACCTACCCAGAGCAGGCCTGTGCCGTTTGGATCATGTTCGCCTGTAAATATAGATCTATCTTATAAACTCCTGACACCACGGGGCAGAAAGTCGCTGACGATACCGAGCACTGCCAGTTGTTGACGATTGACATCAAAGTCAACGATAAAAGCACATGTGGCTAACAAGGACTTTACTTGCCAATAGGCTTAGTACACGCTAGAAATCATACCTGGGTGGATAAATCTGTTCATTCAGTATCTGAATCTGATATGTCTTCCACTTCTATTGGCCTCCTTGCTTGACCAGAAGCCCACCTAATATGGAAGTGTGCACAATTGTCTTTTGAGATGCTGTATTCTGTATGAAAAGGACTGATTTCAGGTGAATATTTATGTCAGATGAGTTTGTGTGATAATACACGATTGTGTTCATGTCACAATATCAAATGGACATGGTCTGTTTGCTGTTTTATGTCTAACAGGTTTTTTGTGAAATTTTAGAATATTTCCTATAATTTCACACGTTATTATTGCATTGTTGATCAACTATTGTTCGATGTCAGCCATTGGGAAGCACACCGCAGCTGAACACTGGGCTAGGGAGTATCAATGTTGTCTATCATATTTTATCCTATTTATAATTAAAGATGATCCAGTGTGCAAAATTATGTTGTTCAATTATGGCTTGTTCATGTTTTCAGAGATAGCACTGGCTGCTAACTGGTCGATTTTGTCCTATTGTATCATCTTTCATACACTTCTGTTATGTATGAGTCAAAAAGGTGAATAGATTGTTTATACATTGTACTTGCAGTGAGGGGGGAGATCTTGGCCAAAGTGTGATAATATTTAAGAGATTTTAGATCCATGAATTTCTTTTAGATTAGGATCATTTTAAACCACTGCAAGATGGGTGATCTTCCTTGCAATTGCATACTGCACATTACATGGGTGTAAGTTATAAACCCTATGGGGAGAATGCCCAGTAATGCCTTTCACTGAAAGGTTTCTAGGCAAGGGAAAAACACTTGACAACATGCCTCATCATTTGGATGTTTGTATTTATTAGGTCATTGATAAACACTTACATGAAAGCTAGCATGAGGTGGAAAACTGCACTGTTCTCATCCTTTACGAACAAAAGCAACATGACTTCACCATCTTACCAAAATGATACAAATCCTTCCAAAATATCATTGCTTTCCTGTACACACTGACTTCAGTTGATTCAAAGATTGACAGGACACTGGTATGGTGGTGTTCTTTCCTGGTTAGACTTCTTTGAAGGTTTTTGTTTGTTATGGAAAACATCACAGTGAAGAGATAGATGACATTGGGCAATGAGGACACAAGTGATCATCACTATAATGGAAAATAGTGGTCTTTATAAAAAGAATTGTAGACATGTTTTAGTAAAGTTCAGAATAGAGATTTCTGTAGTGACAGTGGTAATGTTTCTGTAAGAGTGGGACATTTTAAGTTTAAGTTGGAAGATGTCTGACCAGGAATAATACATGCCACAGGTCCAGTTGCCATCTCAATGTAGGAAGAACGCCTGCACAATTCAAAAGTAAATCTTAGTCAGTAAATTCCCACACAGTCTTCATTTGTAAGATTGCACAACAGAGTATGACAAGTCAAGGGGACAATCCTTTACACTGCTAACCAGCTTGCTTGCAGGTGACTTGTTAAAATACATTGCAGGTCAACTTCAAGTCCTTCCTGAATTGTTATAGATTCTTCAAGCTGGTCATGTAAATTATGTCCATTTGTCTCATTCATAAGCACTTTTTCAGACATAATGTCCTTGATTCAATACATAAATGAATGAGATTTTGTGTTGAAAAATGTTTTGCACAGCAGCATTCAACATGGGTATTGTGAAGCATAGATCAGGATGTTTCCAATACTAAGTCCATGTGCAAGAAAAGTGATGAACTCCTTCACAGCAACTTGCAACACTACCTTCTTAGATATTCTTAGCTGCTGTGCAAAACGTTGAACGTAACTCCATCCATCTTGTGACACATACTGCTTCATAACATCATTATTGCAAAGCTTATGAAATTAAACAGCCGATTCAGGAATGTTCAACAAAGCAACAAAACAATTCTTAGCTTACAAACCATACTGAATGGCCAGGCAAACTTTTTCCATTACCGGTATATAGATTTCAAATGACTGCAAAAACATTTGGCACACTTTACTTGGATCCAAACAAAACTGATTCTGATCAAAATAACCATTCAGCGGACGCCTTTAGGTCACCGAAAAAGGTCTTCTTAACGACCTGCTTGAGACGCGAAATAATTTCCTCAAAAGCAAGAGGTCTCTTAGCACTTCATGATGAAGAACAGAAACAACCTGTGGTTATTGTCCCCTATATAATCCATGCATGGAGCTAGCTTTCATGGTACGGCACAACTGCACATAGGAGGGACCACTACCAACACTAGGCTGGAGCACCCACAAGTGGCCTAATGAAAGGACTATTCCATTCCAAAAGTCTGGTGGGGGAGGACTGGATGATTTTTTGGGGGGACAATGATTTTAACATCTGATTCAAACTTGTGATTTTTTAAAAATTGTAGATCCCTTAATCTTGTGTTTCTCATTTTCATTGTACAAATCATTTAAATTTGCTTCTAAGGTCAATGTTTTTACAATCCTCCATCACCAGGTAACTATTAAGATAGAATAGCCTGATAAGCAAAACAGTGCAACATGGCGAGAAAATTCTTACCAGCAATTGAACATGTTGAAAAAAGCTCCACAGATGCTGTATCCTGTATATGACAGCACAAAAAAATCACAAATAAATTACATCTCCAATTCTACAATCATCCATCATTATTCACATTAAAGGTCGAGCCACTGTGCAATGGTGGAGTGAGTTTCTGTTGATACAAGTGAGAGTTAAACACAGAAAGATGACTGTCACATATACATTTCTGGTGCATTGGGCATTCATACACAGACATTGCCCAACTGTATACATCTATAAAGTACTACGGACCCGTCTCACGATCACTTTTCTACAGACATGGAGAACAAAAAAAAAACAATATCACAACTGAGAAACATGCCGACATAACTTCCAGTACTTTAGGAACGTTACATTTTTATATTAGAAGATTTATCTCCTTCAAAAAACATTCACACACCAGTCTTGTTTAAATTAATATCTCACAGACGGTAATAAAACTTCTCGGACAGTATTCAAAGTTAAGTCACATTATCTTCACATCATGTAGGAGGAGACTTCATGCCGTATCAACTTCTCCAGCCAACAAGCCTCTTCATCTAATCACTATCATGTATTAGTATACAAAGATAAAGTCATATTTCTGTAACTAGGCAACAATGTTCTAGTGTGTGTCTCTTCCATCTAGGCTCCTATTCAAAACTGCCTAAGTTACAGTCATTTACGCTACAGTCTTCTCTTGAGAATAAATAAATAGTAATTCACTACCTTTGGGGATGCACTGTCCCATAGATTTTCTATACAAATTATTTCACTGCCGGTTAGAATCATTTAGATGCAACAGTTTGACACATGAACAAAAGGTAGGCCAGTATTCTGCACCCACAGTTGGTGGGTGGGACCCTGCAGTGGCCTGTAGTTGCCAGGAGATATGACCACATAGGGTGACGGTAGATCAGGCACAGAAGCACACTTTGTTGTATTTCTCCCTTGATCGTGTTCATACTTCAATTTTCCCCTGCAATTTTGTGAGGAGAATAGTTCCAATGATTGTAATGCCAATGTCTGAAGTTGTTGTGTCTCTTGTTCAATATATGCCAATCCTCAGTACTAGAAATACAGATTACCACATAATCATGTTTGTTCTTATGAAAACTGCAAACCAGTATATTTATTATACTAGTACTGTCAGCATTTCCTTCAATGCAATCTGAGGTGTACCAGTGTTGTTGGAACTCAATCTTTTGCAGCAAAGGGGAAATATGCATTGCAACCAATACAGACCAAACATGGTCAATTCTAACAAGGCAACTACAGGTCTGTTTTAGTTGTTAGGTCATCAACAATGTCCAAACAGAACTGGAGGATCCTGTACAAGGCAACATCTGAGGAAAAAACTGAACAGAAGTCTAGACTACTACATCCTGTATCACTCCATGTTGTTCTGGTCCTAGCTAATACAGGTACACAACACATGGTTTCCACCTATCAAACAACAAGTAGGTTTGGCATTGGTACAGGTAGCTTCATCTGGAGTTTAACACTGTAGATGTACATACGCCACATACATCAGCGGATACATTGCAACGATCTGATAGCGAATAGGTTCCTCCGTTGTGTCACTGCTACAGAGTGTACCAGTAGTACGTGTCAATTAACACTGAAAGGAGTTCTGTGACTTGTCCATAGTGAAACATGGAGAAGACTATCTAGTCTAGTAAGAGATAATACCGATTGACTTGAACATTGGCCAGCAATGACATGTCTGATAACAACTCTTCCTCCATCTGCTTCCAATTTAATAGACACTGGACATACCAGTGAATACAGGTAGAACAATATCTGTCAAAGTAAATTCTCTGGAACCATATAGATCTGTATTCAGAAATACTGCCCCATAGTAGGGCTTGCTTTTTCCAGTCACAAAGGTACAGTCCAGTATTTTATAGAAATGGCAAGAGGATTTGGAGGTTCGCTACATCTCAAACAAAGATCTGCAAGGGAGACTGCAGTCAGACACTTAGTAGACCACACCAACAGTCCATGTTCCTTCTGTGGGGTTTGACTTTTCCAACATCTCGTCACCACGGCGGCAGGCCAAAATCTGGCCACACCTTTAAAAACAACCTCCACTTGGTTTGGTGGATGGCCCCTTCTCACCAGGCATCTGTATATCTGATGTCCATGGACCGCAGTCCAGGCAAATTCTCCTGTAGCAGAAATTAGATGCTATAAGCAGCAGCAGTGCCAAAATTCTTCAACATAGATCTTTAATTAAAGTACTCACAATGCCTATACACATACAAGTAACAACATATCAGACAGGCTTGAAAGTGAGAGGTTTGTTTACCTTCAGCAGCTCATAGGTGTCAGGGCTGAGCTTGGTGCTGTTCAGGTTCAGATGCTGCAAACTCTTCATTGCTGAAACAACAACAGACACCCATTAGCATGATTGTTCCACTGTACGAGTATAAACAACTGTCCTTGTTTCTGAACACCCCACTTAAACCATTTCAGTGCAGCAATGTCTCAGTCTAGTTATCAGTATCATATGCATGCATCAATTTTACTTCTGACAGAAGCTTTCCTACTGAAAGTATCCCATATGTTTTGTTGGATCAGCTGAGTTCGACATCTCTACACACCAACAGGAATCTGCTTCTAATCACGGCCAGGTATCCCCAGTAATGCTGCGGGTAGTGTACAGTGACCACAGTAACATGCCAAGGTCACAGGAAACACAAATCAGCAGTGACTGCTGGCTCACTGTGACAGCTGGGTTCAGCTAAGGACAGCTCCAGACTTGCCCATTTTAAGGTCAAGGTAAACTCTTTCTAAATTTGTCCTCCTCTGCAGACCCCTGGTGTGTCTTATCAAATCCATACATCATTATCATGAATAAGATAAAACAAGTTCTTATGACGTCCATACTGCTCACCCAGACCCTGACAACTAGAGATTGTGTAACACAGGCAAATGTGTCTCAACCCCCTTATATGTGATGCAGAAGCAGGGCTCAAAATACAACCTGCATATATACAGGTTAGTGCAGGCAAAATTGGAGCTGTGTAGGTATTTCTGAAGAAATAATGACGATGGCTTATGAACAGCTTTAGTATGATCCATGCTTCCAAAATTTGTGTGGTGCAGGTAAGTTTCAATGTTTGTATGCAGGTATGCAGAAAGAAGCCCTGAAAAGTAAGATCAATAACCACTAGAATACATGTGTGTGTCATCCAATGATTTCTAGTCTGACCTTTGATGGACTCCAGCCCCTTGTCAGTGACCGGTGTCTCACACAGGTTCAGCACCTGCAGCTTGTGGAGGTGTTCAGAGAGCAGGATCAGACCGGCATCTCCAAACTGGGAAAAAACACAGTACTTACTGTCAGACATATGTTCACAATGTGAGTCCTACATAAAAACATGCCACCACAAACTTAAAGAATGTGTTCTCATGTTTCTCACTATTGTAGACTTCTAGTTAGTTCTTGACAATCTAAACCAGGTGGTAAGTGGTCTTGTGGTTAGGGTTGTTAAGTTAGACTTTAAAGGTTCTGGGTTCAAATTCCTTAGGGTTGTTGACTTAGAATCTTAAGGTTCTGTTTCGAATTCCATGCAGGCTCTAATGTCTATTTCCTCACTTGCCTAAAAGTGGTTTACCAGATACTTTGCAAAACAAACAAATAAACACACAAGAGGTGTTGTTCTGACCTGAGTGGACCATAGGTTGAGGTACGTGAGGGTGGGCAGCTTAATGAGATGTTCTGCACACGTACTGGTCACCTGGGTGAAGGCCAGGCTCAGGCTCACCAGGTTCCCGAAGGATCCGGAGCTCAGGATACGCACCAGGTCTGCATCCTGGGGAAACAACAATGCTTCAACATCAACATCAGGGCTCCAAATACTGGCTGCATGAGCACCTTAGTGCACCCATATTGAAGCTGTGCACCCAATTTTTTTTCTGTGGGATCACCAGTGCACTTATGTAAAGATGTTAATGTATGCTTTTAGTAGGATACAGCATATAGGAGTGTTTTGTACCGTAGACTTGGATGGCATGGTCAGGCAGGTGGGCCCTCCTTCCTTCTGCAACTCCCGTAGCTGAGACTGCTTCTGGCACAGGATGCTGTACATCATCTGTCCGTAATCCGTGCTCTCCAGCGTGGCGATCAGCTGAAGCTTCAGGTCGTTGTCTATGACTATGTTCATCTCCAGGATCAAACAGAGCACCTGAGGGGGAGGGGGGCACAAACTACGGGTTAAGCCATGGCAACTTTTTCAAGAAAGTTTTAGTCACATCTGCTTTCTCTCTACCTCATTACAGGACTCAGAATGGCCTTTACGACCACAGCGGAGCTGCCTTAATATCTTCTTCAATCACTATGGTAAGATTTATAGATTTGGAACCTGTACTTCAGAGGGAGCTAGGAGGGGGATCTTGCAATACATAAAATTTCTCTTAATTGCTCCTTTGGCCAAGGCCTTGTACCCACTAAAATTGATTGATATCTATTCATAGATTTGAGTTATTCTGCAGGAAAAAATGTAAGGGTAAAGTTTGTGTGGAGTTCTGTTGTTTCATTCGTGACTTTCTGTTACATGAGTGCTGACATCAGTGCTTGCCTCGTGTCTTTCAAGGCTGGCTGGGGAAAGTGGTAATTACCAGATGTTACATAATAACAGCAGGAGTCCACTGACCCATGTATCACCTATACACTGGGTACCACAAGTACAGCTGCCACACTCTTACCCTACATAGTAATTTGTACCAATGGATAGTTTCCTTATTGCATCCTTTCCAGGTATAAGCTGTACTTTTCTCCATGCAGACTTCTGATCATGACACTTAATGATGACCTTTCTTGGATTACAGATACAACGTATTGTGTATAAGCCTGTCTGACAATTTAGTAACAGACATCAATGGTCGCAAAGTAACGGCATTCTTACAACAACACATGCACATGTCCCGTGCCTGTGACATTGAGCTGTCTTGTTATGGAAAAGGCTGTCTTAGATCCTGGTTGGTGATTGGTTCTGTGAAAGCCTACTTGAAATTTCTACGCTTGTTCAACAACCTACAACAATCACAGCCAAGCCGTAAGGAAAGGTACGACAATAAGACGCTGTACCTTGATCAGTGTCTTGTCCCCACGCAGTGCCAGCAGCAGACTGGGTCCCCGCATCTCCTCCTTCATCAGGGAAGTCAGGAACTTTTTCCGTTTGTTACAGAGGCAGTTCATCAGTCTGTCCACCACGGCTGAGAAGACTTCCCCCTCGTCATTACAGGTGCTGGAGCCGGGGCAGAAGATGTGGAACCAGCCGTCCTTCCCCTCACGCACAGGCAGGATCATGCAATGCACCTGCACAAACATGTCAACATGTTCAGGGATGGATGTTTGTTTGTTTGTGTATTTGTTTGCTTGTGTATTTGTTTGTTTGAACCATTCTTTATTCATGAAAGCTCAAATTGGCATGCAAGCAGCAAATTGACAAGAAAATTGTCAAGGCAGCACAATTCTCTGTACAGCAGAGTAGAAAATGGTAAGGCAACACAACAATTCTTTAAAAAAAAATAAAATAAAAAACTGAACAAGAAACATCCCCTGGCTTTACAACTCAATGCTATCATACAGTGTTATCTGGATGACAAATAAAAGCATCTACAAAACATCTCACATTAAGCTGGGAACAAATTCAAAGCATTGAAAATTAAAAGAGTCCCCTACCTCACATCTTTCATCTCCAGCAAAGGTTAGGATCACATTTCTCATATGCCTGTCAAGGGACAGAATAATGGTTAGTACATATCAATTCAATCTTCCAAGTAATGCAATCATCATCGTCATCTCCGATTAATAATGCAATATATGAGGCTTGATCTCATTTTCTACGGTTCATTAGACACTCACATTAATAACATGCAAAAAATTAAGTGTGTGCATGGGTGTAAGAGACTAGGGTTTTACGCACACAGAGAAAAAATTCAATCTTCTTCAAAAGTAGTTAAGTAATTTTTACACTGCACTATACACATATACTTCCATCCTAACTAACTTATATTTTGCTTTTCGACTATATGTAATGCCCTGTGTTCTGATTTTTGTTATTTACATGGAATTATGAATTAAAAACTGCATAATACCATACATGACATTCTGCACAAACATACTTGTTATAATAATGATGAAGACTTGTTATACTTACTTTGCAAACGTATCATTTGTGAGTGCCCTGAAAATACAAAACAAAAGACATATTACAAACATGAGTTATGAATAAAAAAATTACGTGACATTATTATCCATACAAAATAAGCACACTACAAAAAAGTATCAAACATTTCTATGATGTGTTCCCTTTCTCATCCAAAAGGACCTGACAAAGTTTATCACTTTATTCAGAAATAAAAACAAGAAGCCATAGGCGACAATTCTCCGTGAAGTTTTATATATTTCAACAAAATCCCAAGCGTCAACGCCAGACCTACTGTGCAGACATTATAATTAGGCAACGGTTAATACCACGCTCGTCCCCAGCGCCCGTGGAGAAGCCATAGGTTATAGATCGTGGCTTAGCCCAGGCTATGGAAAATAAACTTTCTTTAATGCAAATCTGTCGTTTTTGTTTTCTTTGCGCTATCTAAAGGGTTAGGATAACCTACTCTACTCTGGCGGTATTGTCGTGCGCGCTCGCTAGTACGTAACGTTACACGGCGGCCATCTGAATACATGTACACTGCATTCTTT